AAAGACTGTTAATTTTTTATGTTAAATTTTTTAACATCAATTTTTTATGTTAAAAAGAAATGGTGGGATGAATTGCACATGCTCTTTTAAAACTATGTGCATATGTCAGGCGGATTTGTGCTACTGGGCATTTAGCATATACACATAGTAAATATGTGTATATGCTAAATGCCCAGTAGCACAAACTAGAACTGGTCCTTATGTACCTTTTTCCAAATTTTTATCAAATATATAGGTTTGTCTCAATGGTGGGATTCATTTTTTTTTTTTACTACCAGTTCTGTGGGCGTGACTTGGTCGGCGTAGCTAAGTGGATACGGCCATGTCACTGGGTGGGTGTGGCTATTTTGTTTTTGCTTTTTTTGCAGCCATCCCCCCACCTGTTTTTTGGGCCTTCTGGGCCTCAGGCAAGCCTCCGAGGGCGGTGTTTTGCTCCCAGAAGGCTCCCCCGGGGCTCAGTAAGGAAAAAAAAACAGAGCATAGCGGGGGCTCACAGCACTCCCCTCTCGCTCCATTTTGGGGCCTTCTGGGCCTCAGGTGAGCTCTGGGGCAGGCATTTTTGCTCCCAGAAGGCTTCCCTGGGGCTTAGGAAGGCAAAAAATGGAGGCATGGCTACATTTTAAGGCTTTTCCTGGAGGCTGGGAGAGAGAGGGTGCATCTTACTTTATTTGGCAAGATGTTCCAAAATATGGAGGCCATGGGTGCAATGTAATATCTACATACATTAAACACACAGCCAGGCCAGTTGTATAGATTTAATCCAATCCTTTTCATTATATTGTTGTGATAAGGGGAATCTCAGTGATCAGCTTTTAATTTTTAAGAAAAGTAGTTTAGAAAAAAAGAAAGAAAACAAAATGACTCTGATATCACACCTTGTAATTCTCAGTCAAGGTCTGTTTTTATATATCATGCTAAGTCATAATGAGATTTCCTTCCTTTGGACAAAGAATATTGTGTAAAGTGAGCTATTGTGGTTTGTGTAAACTACCCATTGTGGTTTAAATGCATAGCCTATGGCTTATCACCTCTGATATCTCCTCTGCTATTGGTACGTATATAGACTAGTCTTGGTGGTTTAATATGGTTTAACATCTTTAGTGAACCTACCTGTTCTGATTTTTGTAAACCAGCCATTGTAATTTATAAAACATAGTTTTATAACATAGAAAATTAATATAAATGCAGACAGTTTCAATTCAGTCAAGAAACCATATGCTCAGATACTAATAGCAATGATTAAAATGTAAATTTAATGAAAATTAACTGTCCTGGAAAACTGAAAAATGGTTATAATATTATAGTAAATTTCCACTACAATGGCCTATTGAGTCTCTATCATAGATTTCTGTTACAGGGACATTCTGTTTATCATAATGTAAAAGAAAGTGTGGAAATAGAGAGCTGATGCAACAGTGGTGGACAAATACGTGTTAGCAATCTTGCCTTCAACAGCATACTGGAATAATACTTGTGTGGTTTCAGCAAAAATGTTGATCTCTGCAATAACCCTTATATTTATCCTTAAAGTGAGCACTTTTCTACATTTTTGTCTTTCAGATTTCAGCTAAACACACTTTTATTCTTTTAAATGTAGAGTTACACAAAATCAAATCTACAATATTCAATGCTTACAAATTAATCACCTCTTATACAATTCTGGGGTACACTTAAAACTTCAAATCTCAACCAACAAATGCTCTGTCTTACATACTGAAAAAAAAATCAGAACATAAAATACAAGCTGGATGGACACAACCTTGTAGACAATCCTCACTCTGTCAAGGACCTTGAAGTACTCATCTAAGTGCCAGAGCCCACTGTAACAACATTACCAAAAAGCATTAAGAGTTGTTTACCTAATCTGGCGTAGCGTCTTCTCTGGTAATATTGTACTGCTAACTAGAGCATACAAAACATTTGCTAGACCAATTCTTGAATATAGCTCATCTCTCTTGAACCTGCACTGCATATCAAACATTAATGTAATTGAGAGAATTCAGAGATATTTCACGAGAAGAGTCCTCCACTCTTCTGCTCACAACAAAATACCTTATACCACCAGACTTGAAATTTTGGGCTTAGACAATTTACACCACCTTCAGTCTGACCTAAGCATAGTATATGAAATTATCTGCTACAATGTCCTACCTGTCAACGACTACTTCAGCTTCAACCACAATAGATACAAACTTAAGGTAAACCACTCCAAACTGAATTGCAGAAAATACGACTTCAGCAACAGAGTTGTCAATGCATGGAATGCCCTACCTGATTCTGTGGTTTCTTCCCCAAGCCCCAAAAACTTTAACTTTAGACTGTCTACTGTTGACCTCACCCCATTCCCAAGAGGTCTGTAAGGGGCGGGCATAAGCACACCAATGTGCCTACCATCCCTGTCCTAATGTCCCCTTTTATTCATACCCATTTCATGTAATCATAATCATGTTCTAATTATATCTGTTATTTAACACATGCTTGACAAATCAATAAAATAAAAAATAAAAAAGTATATCACAATTCATTATAGCTTAGGTTTCCTGATGACTATTCACTCTATCAACATCTTAAGAGATGGGGCCAGTTGAAAAGCTTTGTTTTACATTCTGAAAATGAAAGACTAGTCATAATTAATATAAAAAATATTACTTATTTTTTTTAAAAAATAATTCTTTAGGTTCTTATAGCTGTGAAGAAAATCCTCCTAAATGTTTTGAACATGTCTATCCTTTTTCAGGATACATTTTGTCTCCTGTATGCATATGATAATTCTTTATAATTCCATAGATGGCTTCACTGACAAATGAGATCTCTCTTATAATTTGCCCTAGCATTTATGCACACACAAAGCCAGATGATTCATTTTGTATTCCATTTTGAACATTCCATTTTATTAAGTTTAAGCTTTTTTTAACCTAGCACAAATTTTGTGGAGGTTCTTACAAGAATATGAATTCTATCATTCTATCTATGAAGACAGAATGGAACAAATGTTAAGAGAATGTTAACACTTAATTGTACAGTTTATATATAAATTTACTTTGAGTTAAATGGTACTTGATGAATTTAGTTAGTTAATCTTCCTGCAAAAATATTAATAGAATGGGGAAGTCACCATTTTTCCTTCTACATTTTCATTTCTGAGGACAATTTGTGTGCTACAATAGGGTGAGTTGCCTTTTCTATATCACTGATAGAAAAGCAATTGAGGCACATTATTACCATGTTACATAAATGTATTCTTATATAATGTCCATACAAATACCATGTATGGTACTTGAACACTGATGTTAGCATATTTAGCCATCCTATTTGTCACTTTCTGCAGCATTCTAGTTAGACAGGAAGATCAGCAATTTCCAGATATTTTCAATCTCCCTCTTCACCCAGTGTATCCAAATATGTTGACCTTGACACTAATATGCTTCCAAATTATTTGCTTTACTTTGAGAAAATTGATATATTTTGTCCTTGGGGTTTATCTGTCTACCTAATTTCTATAACCAGGTAATGACTCTGGACAGTATATATCATATAAGACATATATAGGAAAATGTTGGAGGTGGAAATTACTTTAGTGATAATAGCAAAGACATCATAATTTCATACTGTGGGGACAATGTAATGATAAATATTCTTGTATGTTTTTCAAGGTAACTACATGAACAGACAATACAAAATGATTAATAATACAATGACCCTCTCAAGTTGGATGACACTCAACCCTATTGAGAAAGAGCTATCTTGCCATGTAGAAAGAGCCATCTTGCCATGCAGGAAAAGATTTGCAAAGACAGAATAACATTAAGAACATGGAATGTACAGTAGAAAGTACTAACATGGAAAAGCTCAATAGTGAAAGATAAAATGAATCAAATACATATTGGCATCTTAAGCATAATTGAAGTAGATTGAAATTCAACATTTCACTCTGAAAATCGTTTTATTACTCCTCTTATTTCTTTCATAGTCATGAAGTACATAGCAAGGCAATACTATCCAGAAGCAAACTAAAAAATAATGGAAATTGCCAAATGAAATTAAGTTACAGCTAAGAAAGATAAATATCTAGGGAAGGAACTTAACAAAGAATATCAAACAGTGGTTAGAAGAAATGTGAACTAGTAGTACAAAACCTAATACTGTACAATAGACATGTTAGCAATAGTCTCTGATATAGAGATGGTGTTACATTCCAATTTCAGACCCAACTGATCTATTATTTTACATTTGTTTATATTAAATATAAATATATATATATTTGTATCTGCTACTCTTGTACCAAATAGCTCCCCCAAAATAAATTAATATGAAATATTAAGATGCCTGATTTTCAGTTATACTTTCAAAATAAGAATGTAGACAAAATTCTGAATGGCTAAAAGAAACATTTATTTTAAAAAAAACTTATAGTCTTCTCTGGAAGGATTTTCACTTTAAATGTAGGCTCTGCTCTGATTTAAAAAATAAATCAATATTTTCTTAGAATTCAGAGACCTCAGATTGCTGTTGCTCCAACCATCTAAAGGTTTCTAAAATTCCTAACTAGAGTTAGCACATTAGGACGCTAGTATTTGTTTATAATTTCCAGCCTCTTGGGCATATATAGTACATTAAGAAGTCGTGGAAGCAAATAGTAATAATTATCAAGAGACAGCCCTTCATCATGAGCTGCCTATATTAACTTTACTAAAACTGCCCTACCCCCAGCTAGACGTCCCTACACAAAGCGGCTTTCAGCTACTACTCTTTCCCTCTCGCCCTCTTCTCCACCTACAGGTAAAGTAGAAGCCAGTGGTTGGTTAGGTACGCTGCCTTTCGGAGATTCTGACCAATCAGACATGAATTAACGGCGGCCGATTGCCCAATTGGCGTATGGCTAGGCGCCCCCTGGCCATCACAGGCAGTGTAGTGGAGCCTGCGGTGGGTATTTAGAAAGAGAACGGTGAGCTTTGTGTGCGTGTGTATGTGTGTTGGGCGGGGGGGGGAGGGGAATAGGTGGTGGTCGTATGTGCGGTGGTGGTCTCGAGTTTTTAGTCAGGTAGGAGCTCGACTCTTATGCTCCCCGCCCACTTCGCCGTCGCTCCTCCTCCTCATCTCCAGTAGTGGCCGCCTCGTCCATGGACGATGTAAGCCGCGAGGGGCTAAGCTGCCAAGGCAGGCAGTCATGGTCACATACCGGCGATAAACGCGTCGCTGAACGCTCCAGAGTCTGCCTATCTCGGCCTCTTCCTGTCCCTTCTTCCAGGGGGCGTGTTCGCGCGTGAGGGAGTCAGGAGAGAAGCCTTCCTTGTTTTCTTTTGCCTTCGGAGCGCCGCCATGTCCAGCTCCTCCTCGCAGACTCCTCCTCACCACCAGCCCCCGCAGCGGATGCGCCGTGGCGCCGCCGGGTCCCCAACCAGCGGTAACGCCGGGGTTTCGGTCGGTAGTAATGGGTCTGGCGGCGGAGGAAACGGCGTTGGAAGCGCCCCCGGTGGTGGCGCTGGGACTAGCCGGTTGCTCCAACCGATCCGCGCCACCGTCCCTTTTCAGCTCCTGAGGGGAAATCAGCAGAGCCCGACTCGCTTGCCGATCTCCTCAGCCTCCGTGGGGAGTAATACCGGCCCTGGAGGGCCGCGAGGCGGAGGGGGAGGAGGCGGGGGGAACGGTGGCAGTCCGCCTCCACCAAACTCTACTTCACCGTTGGCTCTGGCGGCCGCTGCTGCCGGTGCCGCCGTTGTTGCTGCCCCGCCGGGAGCAGGCGGGGCGGTAGAACCGAGCAGGGTGAAGGTAAGGCAGAAGCGCTCGCCTGACAGCAGCAGCACCACCGCTACCACCACCACCGCTACCACCACCAACGGCGGCAGGCGGAGGAGCAGCTCACCTGAGAGAAGGAGCCCCAGTTCGCCCATATATAAAGGTAAAGCAGAGACAAAGTAGAGGTGTAACCCACCCCACTTCCATAAAAGCCTCCCTTGTCGTATTCCCTCCCTCCCTCCCAAAGATCTAACACGATTCATTTAGGGAAAACATTAGGCATAAATTTACTATACTCCACAAACGTCCGCCCTCTACATTGCTAAGTGATTCATTTGTAAGTTCTAGTGTGTCAGTGAAGCTTCAGTTGAGCTCAAAAGAAGAAACAGCAGATTTCTAAACCCAAGCTTTTCCTCAGCTGAAACCGAAAAAGATTTGGCCCTTCACTTATTCGTTGATTACTTGCTCCTTTAACATTGTTTATTTCTCTAGAATAGGGCAATTAAAACGTAATAAAAAAGTATTGTTTTCCCTCCATCCAGATAGATGGGGGTAAATGAGGGCTGGGAATTATACTGATAATTAAAAGTGTAGAATCTTGGAGGTTAATTTGGAATAACACAACTTGAAATGCACCATATGTTGATGTGAGTGCTGAAAATAGGGGTTTGCTCTTTTAACAAATTTTTATCGACATTTTTATGATTGAGAACTTTAATGCTGAATTCATGCTTTTTATGTGTTCATCTGTTTCAGTGACTAAAATGCTTTTCTTTAAGAGGCAACTTAAATTTAAAGGACTTTAAAGGAAGCCAAGTGCTGATATTAATTATATTTTTATATAAGTTACATTCCTAACAACGTATGTTAGAAATCCATTTATGCTTCTACTTATAGAAATAAGGAATATGAAAACCGGATTAAAACAAAATGCTGCTAATAAAAGTGCATAGGATGTGATGGCAGAACAGTTGTTTACAGCATTTCTAAAACCTGCAGGTTATATGAATGGCAGCAGTTTCTACAAAAAAATCTTTTAAAAGTATAAATGCAATCTCTTTGCAGGTTAAACCTACATGAATATGTGTTCCTGGTTTATTCATTTTAAATATGCTATGTAAATTTGTAAACTAAATTCCTCAATATAGTGCAGATATAAATCAAAACACATTCTAAGTGTTTCAGAAACTAATAAATTATTCAAATCTTCTAACATGACAATGATTATTTTAACTGTCCGACTGTGCCCTTTTTTCTTTCCATATTTAGATGAATCAAATTAATACACTGCTTATAATAATTCTTATATATACTTCATCTCCAATACTTTTGCATCTGTAATAATGCTGGGTCTGTGTTTAATTTTAAAAGCAAATTAAGTAAGCCTCTTACTAATATTGAAAGCAGCAAGTTATAATGATTCTTGGCTTAAATCCTTGGCATTAATTCTTAAGATAGATGAATTTGGCAAGTCATTCTTCAACCATTTGAAGAATTATACCAAAACTTATAGTTCTTCGCATTTGAATCTGTATGTGATCTCCATTTAGAAAAAAATATTTGGAAATTATTTATGGAATTAATCTTTATCTGACTTGATAAATATTGAACTTTATATTATCAAGTTTAAAAAAAGTTAAACTGCTCACAAGACAAATATAAGACAAAGTTGTAAGAACGTTTTTTACTTTTAAAAAGTAGTAATATGATGAGATTCTGTTTTCATAGAATATTTATTCAGGATAAAATAAAACTTTTATATATGACTTAGATCCTTTCCTAAAATATTTTTAAAAGAGTAAAATAACTTATATTCAAAATTGACCAATCCTTTAAGCTAGAAATAAGTGACTTCATGTTTTAATTCTGCCTTTAGCATTTGTAGCAGTCAACAGTTTGAGGTAACTGAGAGTACAACCATATGAAATAATCTGACAAACAGTTACCTAAATGCAAGTAATAATGATTAAGCCAGTTTGCTCTGGTTGATTGAAAAGTTCATTAACTAACCTGTTTTACTCATCCATTCCTGTAATTTGATAAGTATGTCTTTTTTCTTTATACAACTCAATAACTATATTCTTTAGGCTACAAAATAAAATACATTTTTAAAAAAACTCTGCAAAATGGCTTTGTGGGTTTTGCAGTTGGCATTGAATACAAAACCTATGCCATTTTTTAATTTGTTCTTTTCTCAGCTATTACCTCTTTGGACTGTGTAACATAATTGAAAAAGCAATCTGCATTTGCAAAAACTTAAGAATTGCTTGGGCCTTAGCTGTGTTGCGAAATAACAATGCTTCAACTACTAAACATCTGAGAATCTTACTTTGTATTAATATTAACAATTGCCAGAAATGGTGATGTGATGATAATCAGTGTTTAATATATTTAAAAGTGCGAGTGATCTATGGTCTTTTTTTTTTAAGAATGGGGAACTTAAAGTCTTTTTCTTTAGTGTATGATTCTTCCATCTTGTTACAATGCAGCTAATTGCAGTGAAATTTTTCATATGAACATGTAAACAAATTGCCAGGTATTCTGAAAGCTGCAAAGTGCTATGGATTGGAAGCTTGTACAGGTCAGGCAGCTGCCACTGCAGATGGTGACATCATTCTTGCCTGAATGAAAACAGCTTTCTTAAGAACTCTCTCTCCCACCCTCATTTTTCATCTCTAGGATGCTCTCAAATTTTTGCTTCAAAATTAATACTATTTCTGATTTTAAAAATTTAGAAGCCAGAAAATAATTACATATTACATTTACAGGTATACCTTTTGTAAAATATTATTGTATCTTCCATGTTTATCAGTTAATCTGCTTAACTATTCATCATTGCATTTTATATTTTGTACTTGTATATTTGTAGCACTACATACTATCTGGTATCTCACAGTTTGTGAATTTCATGATATTGAATTATTTTTTCCTTTATTTCTGTTCAAACATGCAATACAGCATATATTTTATAAACTGCTTTGGTAATATTACAAATGAAAAATATGCAGGATTTAACCCATTTGTAAATAGTTGCAAAGAATAAACATAACTGACAAGCATGGATTGACTGCCATTCCATTGATATATTGGCTGTCCAAATACTGTAAAAGGTCATGGCTTTTAAATTGTGAGAAAGGTTATTTCTAAAATAGTTTCTTTTACTGTCTTATAAGTACACTTTATCCTTTTTAATGTTCTTATCATATGCCGAATAAATTGAATCCTTTTTCAAATATTTATAAAAGTCTTCAAAATCTATAATGGCAGGGTAGGAGGTGAGGATTAAAATGGGCAATTGCTTCAATATAGTTTAAACACATGTAACTTGTCATTTATAATTATTAATTTTAACAAACTTCTAATGAACATTGTCAACATTTTAAGAGTAATTTTGACTCTGGTTGTATTGTGGCCTAGAATAAACCCCCATAAGCTTTTTTCCCCAGCCTACACCTTTGGCCAGTCTAATGTTTTAAGATGAAAGGAAATTGACTTGAGTGATAAATAATGAACCTATAGTGAAAACTGAAATTTGTAATTGGTATTATGTTTGATTTCATATTATATGACATAATGAACTCTTTCTGATATGTTTGATGGCCCAATGCCCTGAAATGCCACAATGCAGGAAGATATCAGATTGTTTCTAAATTTATGTTTATGAGGTTATGAATTCTAAGTGTATTTTGTCAGTGGTTGCTTAGATAGGGAGAATTTCTATATATTACAAAAATTTAAAATGTAATAAAATTAATTATATCCCTGAACTCTGTCCAAAATCTAAAGAACTCTAATGTTAGCTTAGTAAACCCAAGGAGGATTAAGCTTCCCCCAAAATACTGATTCCAGTCATATTTTTTATGATAGTGCTTTCTAAAATGTTCTTCAACTTTAAAGAAGCAGTAGATATGTCAGAGAAATCGATATTTCAGTCAGATGTAAGGCTTGGATATTAAATCCTAAATACCTTAAAGTGTTCTGATTCATGTTATTGATCCTGATGAAATAAGCGTTTTTAAAAACAACATTGAAAAGGTATGGAAAAATACCAATTATAATCTTTATGTGGTAGTTTGAATGCAACTTTATTGTATTCTTACATATATTGTTGTGTTAGTAATACCCAATTTTATGTATATATTGTTAATATCTATGGGATACAAATAATTGCAAATTAATAATTTTGCATTCTTAACACAGTTGTGTGTATGTAAATCTGAGCTCATATTCCAGAGAGCAGATTTAAGGTTCAAACAGATCAGTGGTAGTATGATAGGATGGTTGCTCACAAAAGTATGCCTTATCAGTTGGATGTGTTTGCCACATAAATTAGCAAGTAGACATAGTGTTTGTTTTTAGTGGTGGGCATGCTGACTACAGAGACAAATTACAGATGCAAAAAGCACTCTGGTTGGATTTCTGCAACTTGTAAAATTAAAATATAATAGGTTAGTTTGTGGCTCAGTTGCTGTAGAAATCTAGACAGTAGAAATCCAAACAATTAGAGCAGCCTCCAAGAAAGGAAGTGAACCAGGACAGCACAAAGTCTCCCACTCCCATGAGAGATAGAGCAAGGATGGATGCACTACCCCATCCTGCTCCCGCCATCCAAAAGTGTGACTAATGCCATTTCTGTCCCAAATCCAGGCCTGAATCCTGACTAACTTAGTTTATTTAGTTTAACCTTAATTGTCATGTAAACTATAATAGTAATAGTTTTATTATGGATATTGTTTAAGTAAATGAAAATACCTTTTCCCTCATTGAAATAAAAAATGTTTGGGAACTACATTTGTGACTTTTTGAATTCTGAACTTGAAACAAATGTACACTGCTCAAAAAAATAAAGGGAACACAAAAATAAGACATCCTAGATCTGAATGAATGAAATATTGTTCTTAAATACTTTGTTCATTACAAGTTGAATGTGCTGACAACAAAATCACACAAAAATTATCAATGGAAATCAAATTTAGCAACCCGTGGAGGTCTGGATTTGGAGTTACACTCAAAATTAAAGTGGAAAAAAACACTACAGGCTGATCCAACTTTGATGTAATGTCCTTAAAACAAGTCAAAATGAGGCTCAGTAGTGTGTGTGGCCTCCACGTGCCTGTATGACCTCCCTACAACTCCTGGACATGCTCCTGATGAAGTGGCAGA